ACTACCTTACACAAGCGATGTCGGGTCATGGTTGTTTCGGACAGTACATCTATAGGTTTAAAATAGAAGCAGACGCGAAATGTGTGTACTGTAACGGTTCGGGTGACGACGAAGCAGAGCACACTGACGACGCGGAGCACACGCTTTTTTCCTGCGGGCACTGGCGTGAACTTAGGGAAGCCATGTTTTCGGCCGTGGGCACTGAAGTCACGGTCGAGAATATGGTTTCAATTATGTTGCAGAGCGCGGACTCATGGCGAGAAGTCGAGACTTTTGTCATCGAAGTCATGAGGAGGAAGGAGAACGACAGAAGGGCGAGATTACCCTGGAGAATTCCTGCTGCTCGGCGGGGCGCTCGCGGAAGACGGAGGAGACCTTAATTGGAACTCCTCCCTCTTCGGCTGGCGCCTTTTTAAGGACTTGGATCTGGAAGTAGGTAAGGAGACCTCCACTGGCGATGTAAGCTTGACAGCAGTTCCGCCAGGGGAGATATGTCTCAAAAGGGAGTGGTTTTTAGTGGGTCGGCCAGAACAAGAGCGGTCATCCCCACATAACCTAGGAGTACGGGCTCCAGGTATCTGACTTGGAAGTAGGCCTCCAAGGTTATAGCAGATTTTCCACTTCCCACGCAAAAAAAAAAAAAAAATTATTATTATTATTATTATTATTATTTTTTTTTTTTGCTTAGGGACTTTTGGGAAATCTGCCTACAGATACCTTGGATTCCGCACTCCAAGGTTATGTGGGGTTGGTATGATAAAACAAAAGGAAATATAAAGAAAAATTGGACAAGTGCGAGTTGCACTCGCACTGCAATGGCAGGTTCCGTACACAAATATTAAAACAATACTTGCAACATTTATCGGTAATTAGTAGAATTAAAATAAACAATTAGAAAAATTTATTAAAATCATTTGATAAGAAGAAATAACTAAAAAAAATTAAAGTATTGTATTTATCTAATATTGTAAACAATAATAAGCAGAGGAACTATAATTTTGAAAATTTTGTTCCTCTGCTTATTATTGTTTACAATATTAGATATACAATACTTTAATTTTTTTTAGTTATTTTTTTTATCAAATGATTTTAATATATTTTTTTAATTGTTTATTTTAATTCTATCAATTACCGATAAATGTTGCAAGTATTGTTTTAATATTTGTGTACGGAACCCGCCATTGCAGTGCGAGTACAACTCGCACTTGTCCAATTTTTTTTTTTTAGTTAAGAAATTAAAGTCAGAAAACAATCTCTCATTTATTCTCTTAAAATTTCACTCTCTTCCTTAAAATATTTAATGCCACGTGTTTAAACTAAAAAAAATTTAAAAAAAATTTTTTTTTTGAAAAAAAAATTAAAAAAAAATTTTTTTGATTTTTTTTTCAAAAAGTTTCTTAAATAATTTTTTTGTCGTCAGACTGTAATAATACACTAGGATACCAATTTTCAGCTTATTAGGTCAAATAATGTAAAAGTTAGAAAAAAAAAATATTTTTTAAAAATTTTTTTAGTTTTTCCTTGACAACGCTATGGCCATCATTACATATCAAGTTCTCTATATTTTTCCTGTAATATTCGAGTAAAAATACACCAGCATGCAAAATTTCAGCTCTCCATGTCGAATAGTTTAGAAGTTAAGGGGGGGAATGGTCACTTTTTATACATTTTTGGCCAAAAATCTTGTTATTTCCTTGACAACGCTATGACCATCACGTCCAATCACATTCGCTATATTTTTCCTGTAATCTACGAGTGAAAATACATATCTGGACCAAATTTGAGCTCTTTAGGTCAAATAGTTTAGCCGCTAGGGGGGGGGACACGATTTGGCTACGGACAACAGAGTCTCACCAATAGGGTTCCGCCGTTACACCGTAGGTGTACGGAACCCTAAAAAGGAAAAAATATATATATATTATAGTAAATTTAATAAACTGGCGACCTACTACCAGTCCGACCCACTAAAACCCGTAACCCTTCTTCTGGAGCCCTTTACCCTCCCTCGGAACTGTCGTAAGACTTTAGCCTTCGAGGGTGGCGCTCCAACTCTGTCGCTAATGCGACTTTCTGCTTTTCTCTGCGGTTATCCTGCGTTAATAGTTAAAAATTTAAAACTATTTCAATATAAAGCGGAATTAACAGCACAACAATAATTAAAAATAACAAATGTGTAATTAAGTGTAAAAAGTCAGAAGATAAAATTATAAACGGATATATAAAAAAAAGAAAAAATAAACGCGTATAAAAAATTGAAAACATAAAACTGTACAAAGATGAATAAAAAAAAAAAAAAAAAAACACAAACAATTAAAAAATGTATAAGGACAAATAAATCACAAAATAAATTAATAAAAAACAAACGAATAAATTAAAAGCTGTTTAAATTACGCTTTTTGGCGGCCGTCGAGATCCTTCCTCGACATAACCGAGATTATGAAGTTCTCGACTTGCCGCCAATTCTCCTCTGACTGGGTCATCAGCGATACCATGTAATTATTATTATTATTATTATTATTATTATTATTATTATTATTATTATTATTATTATTATTATTATTATTATTATTATTATTATAATTATTATTATTATTATTATTATTATTATTATTATTATTATTATTATTATTATTATTATTATTATTATTATTATTATTATTATTATTATTATTATTATTATTATTAACTCCGCTTTAAATTGGTCCCAAGCCCGGGACTCCATCCTCTCCACTCATCTTCGTTCATTTGCATATATTTTTTATGTAAATGCGCGTGTGTGGGGGAGGGGTGTGGAGGAGGAGGAGGGTAGTTTGGAGAGCTTTTGAGGTGGGGACCATCTGGATATCAGTATGTTAGGGAATGGTGTTAATGAAGGGCATTGCTATAAACACAATATCCCTCTGAATGGGCAGGAAGAATCTGAACCGGTGGGTTCAGTATGAAATTTTGTTCAGTTTTGTCTTGGTGATTGGGAAGTTATAGTCTATAAACGGCATCTTCCACGAATGGGCAACTCCTGTTATCCTCGCTAGCCATCTCTGCCGGCACGTCTGATCATGTTAAGTCATGCGCTCGAGACGCAGATTGGGGGGATTCAGCTTGCGGGATAGCAGGAGTTGATGTATGAATCTGAAAGGTTTAAGCCTATAAACGGCGCCTTTATGTTGGTGAGGTGAAAGGGGAACCCTCCGGAGAGGCTTCTTCCTGAGTATGAGTGTGGGATGCGCTATAAACGCGTTATTCTCCTGGTCGCGAAGTACGTAAGGGGATTTCCGTCTGGTCCCGGCCTCCAGAGCTCCTCAAGCAACATATACATAAATACACTTCTTTTTCACACTGATATGGGTACACCCACTTACATAACACGACACATATACACTTACACTGTTAAGCATCACACCCATATCAAATACCGAACTACGTTTTTAATGAAATGTGTGATGTAACGAACGTTATCCTCCAAGCAGGTACCTCGACAGAGGCTAATCCTGCCGTCGATTCCGATTGGGTGAAAGCCCCGATGGTCGACGCAAGGCCCACGGATTTTGGAGGGGGCCAACAGCACACTGGTCCTTCTGACCATAACGGTGACGGAAAAGTGATGATGGAGACGGAGAGCGTAGTTTCCTCTGAGTCCATCATTGAAAAGGAAAAGGAGACCCTGGTATCGCGGACTGCTTCACCGATCGTCGAAGAATGGCAAGTCATTCTTGGACTTATGGAGAAGCAGTCTGTGGTGGTTGAGCAACTCTTCAAATCACTAGAAATAGTGAAGGAAGGGATGCTCAAGAACAACTCCAGGGAGGTGAAAATCAGTGCCAGAGAGGCATATCACCATAGTGATAGCCTCAGAGGCATCTTAAAGGATATGGTGGAGGAGGGGGCCTGCTTTTCTCATAATTTAGAGATAGTGGATTCCCTCAGCCAGAAGAGAGATCGAGGCCGCCAGGGGACAATACCCTTGGCGACTCCGAACTCTGAAAGAAAAGGAAGAAAGAGAGATGCCTCTGGGACACCACCAGAGAAAGTTGAGAAAAAGAAGGGCAAAACAGGCGAGCTGGACCCAGGGGACAGCAAGCCTGCTGCCAAAGAAAAGGAGAAATTGAACTCTCTCTAGGAAAATGAAACCTGGAAAGAGGTCAAAAAAAAGAAGAAAAAGAAAAAAAAGAAAAGGGATGAAGAAAAGTTGATAGAAATGACGGGGGAGTCGAACAATGAGACCGATCGACCCTCACGTAAAAAGAAAGAAAAATCGACGGATGCAATTGTGATATCCGCAAAAGATCCGAACATAATTAGTAAAATGAAGGCGGCGGTTAGGCCTGAGGATACGGGGACGGAGATATTGTCGATTCGGAGGACCAAAAGGAATGATCTCCTTCTGGTTCTCAAAAAGGGACAGGGCGTCTTGGGTTTCGGCAGTGCTTTGACCGCTGCGCTTCAGGGAAAAGCAGAAGTAAGGACTGTGGTTTCGATGAGGTCGATAGAAATTTTAGACCTTGACGAAACCATAGTCCAACAAGATGTTGTAGAGGCGGTCCGGGGTGCACTTAGCAGGCCGGATTTAGAATTGCCGTGTCAGCTTTTCGCTCGGTATGGTAATACGAAGAAGGCCATTCTACGGCTCCCCGAAACGGAAGCGGAGTCGTTACTAAAGGCCAGGCGAGTAAAAATAGGGTGGGTCAACTGCAGAGTCCACGCCAGAGTGGAAGTAGAGAGGTGCTTTAGATGCCTCTATTACGGCCATCTGGCTGGAGGATGCAGTGGGCCGGACCGAAAGGAGGCTTGCTGGAGGTGTGGCGGTCTCGACCACAGGAAGAGTCAGTGCAAGGGGGCAGCCCAGTGCATTGACTGTTCCGATCGTGGGATGGAGGACACAAAACATCCTTCAGGGAGCAGGGCCTGTCCGGTGTACAGGAAGATGCTTACAGATCTAAAGTCCAGAGCTTAGGTTTCTCCAGGTTAATCTCAGGAAAGGAAAAGTCGCGCAAGATCTCTTGATGCAGACTGCCAGAGAGAGGGGAGCTGATATACTGCTTTTTAGTGAGCAGTATAGGAAGCCAGAATCCTCTGTCTGGTTTGAGGATGCATCCAAGAGATCAGGTATCCAAATATGTAACCCGGACATCACCATTGGTGACTTTCTGGAGACCGACGCGGGTTTCGTTTGGGTGGAGGTGGCGGGGGTACGCGTTTACAGCTGCTACTTCTCTCCAAACGATCCCCTTAAAAAGTTCGACGCCGAGGTTCAGGCTCTTGAAAAAAGCATCAGAGCTTTCGGCGGGGATGTCCTCATTGCGGGAGACTTTAATAGTAAGTCGCCGGAATGGGGAGAGACTCGTCTAGACAGGAGGGGAACCTTGGTTTCGGACATGGTCGCAGCAAACGATTTAGTGGTGGTGAACCGGGGACAAGAGTTCACGTTCAAGCGCGGGGTGTCAGGGTCTATCATCGATTTGACAATTGCGTCGCCCCGCGTGGCCCGTAGAATAGTGCGGTGGGGAGTGCTGGACGAAACAACTATGAGTGACCACCAGTAAATAGAGTTTATAGTCGCTGAGATAAATCGGGGAGGGAACATCAAGCCGCATGTTGGCCACAAGAGACCCTCCTGGAACCTCAGACGGCTAAATCGGGAGAAGTTGGCGGAGTCTCTGGCCGAGGCTCGAGCTATACATGAGCTAGGCTGGATGACGAAGCCAATTTCTGTGGGCGACAAAGTGCGTGAGGCGAGGCGAGTTATTATTGCAGCGTGCAATTACTCTATGCCTCGCCGGCACCAAACAATCAAAGCAGCTTTATGCTGCCCCTGTATGGGCTTCAGCCCTTAAGATCCACAGCATCTCTGACAGACTTCTCTCGGCCCAGAGAGAGCCAGCAAGGAGAATAACGTCAGCCTTCAGAACGGTGTCTGATTGCGCTCTTCGGGTGCTTGCTAGATTACCGCCAATGGATTTGTTGGCGATGGAAAGGCAGGAGAATTTCCAGCTCTCCAAAGATCTAGTAGGCAACCCGGAGCGTAGAGAAAGACTCAAAGCTCTAATCCGCTTAGAGTCAAGAAAAAGACTCGTTCTGAGTTGGCAGGAGAGATGGGATGGGGAACTGAAAGGTAGATGGACTCATCGCCTAATTCCCCACCTCGCCACATGGTTGGAAAGACAACACGGTGAAGTAGGCTACTACCTTACACAAGCGATGTCGGGTCATGGTTGTTTCGGACAGTACTTCTATCGGTTTAAAATAGAAGCAGACGCGAAATGTGTGTACTGTAACGGTTCGGGTGACGACGAAGCAGAGCACACTGACGACGCGGAGCACACGCTTTTTTCCTGCGGGCACTGGCGAGAACTTAGGGAATCCATGTTTTCGGCCGTGGGCACTGAAGTCACGGTCGAGAATATGGTTTCAATTATGCTGCAGAGCGCGGACTCATGGCGAGAAGTCGAGACTTTTGTCATCGAAGTCATGAGGAGGAAGGAAAACGACAGAAGGGCGAGATTACCCTGGAGAATTACTGCTGCTCGGCGGGGCGCTCGCGGAAGACGGAGGAGACCTTAATTGGAACTCCTCCCTCTTCAGCTGGCGCCTTGTTAAGGACTTGGATCTGGAAGTAGGTAAGGAGACCTCCACTGGCGATGTAAGCTTGACAGCAGTTCCGCCAGGGGAGATATGTCTCATAAGGGAGTGGTTTTTAGTGGGTCGGCCAGAACAAGAGCGGTCATCCCCACATAACCTAGGAGTACGGGCTCCAGGTATCTGACTTGGAAGTAGGCCTCCAAGGTTATAGCAGATTTTCCACTTCCCACGCAAAAAAAAAAAAAAAATTATTATTATTATTATTATTATTATTTTTTTTTTTTTTGCTTAGGGACTTTTGGGAAATCTGCCTACAGATACCTTGGATTCCGCACTCCAAGGTTATGTGGGGTTGGTATGATAAAAAAACAAAAGAAATATAAAAAAAAAGAAAAATAAATAAATGTTATAATAAATTTAACAAACTGGCGACCTACTACCAGCCCGATCCACTAAAACCCGTAACCCTTCTTTTGGAGCCCTTTACCCTCCCTCGGAACTGTCGTAAGACTTTAGCCATCGAGGGTGGCGCTCCAACTCTGTCGCTAATGCGACCTTCTTCTTCTCTCTGCGGTTTTCCTGCGTCCATAGTTAAAAATTTAAAACTATTTCAATATAAAAGCGGAATTAACAGCACAACAGTGATAAAAAAAAACAAATGTTTAATTAAGTGTAAACAGTCAAAAGATAAAATTGCAAACGGATATATAAAAAAAAGAAAAAAAAAACGCGTATATAATATTGAAAACATAAAACAAATTAAAAAATGTATAAGGACAAGTAAATCACAAAATAAATTAATAAAAAAAACAAACAAACAAATTAAAAGCTGTTTAAATTACGCTTTCTGGCGGCCGTCGAGATCCTTCCTCGACATAACTGAGATTATGAAGTTCTCGACTTGCCGCCAATTCTCCTCTGACTGGGTCATCAGCGATACCATGTTCTCCGGTGTAACTTGACTGTTTACACCTTCGAACATGGCCTGCCTCTCCAAGTCCCATTTCTTGCATGAGAAGAGGGTGTGCTCTGCGTTGTCCTAAGGGAACTGGCAATATGCACACACCTCGTCCTCGCGTAATTTAAAGCGGCACAGGTACGAGTTAAAACACCCGTGACCTGTGAGCGCCTGAGTCAGATAATAGGAGACTTCTCCATGCTTTCGGTTTATCCAGGTGGTGAGTGTTGGAATCAGACGATAGGTCCATCTGCCCTTTTCCTCCCCATCCCATCTGTCCTGCCATGTCTCGATAAGTCTGTTTCTCGCGTATTTGCTCGTCTGTGACGAGCAGAGCTTCGGTTTTTTCCAAGGCCATTTGAAGACCTCTGGCATCCAACCAGCTTTTAACTCGCCGCAGACATTCGTTTACCAATGTCCCAAGGGCTTCCTCGCTTTCGGCTGAGCACACGACCAACGCATCGTCCGCAAAGCCGATGATGACCGCGCCTTCAGGTAGACCCATTCGCAGGAAGTTATCATAGGATACATTCCACACGAATGGTCCCACCCTCGAGCCTTGGGGGGCACCACTTTGCATCTCTTCCTTCAGAGTCCAGTTGTCCCCTTCATATATTACCCACCTGTCGCTAAGATAATCATTCATTATCCGCAACAAGTAGGGCGGTATTCTCTTCTCCATCATCGACTGGATGAGATCTTTCCATCGTGCGGAGTTAAACGCGTTACGTATGTCAATAGCCACCAATGCACAGAAGCCCTTCTTCTTCTTTGGTCCCAATTTGTTTTTTCCCTCTTTGGCTATGTCCACAACTGCCTGGATGGCATCAACTGTGAACTTGCCTTTACGGAAACCAAATTGGTGATCCGATAGACTATTCTCTCCGGTCAAGTGGCTTTGCATTCTCTGCAGAACCATATCCTCTAGAAGTTTACCCATCGTATCTAGCAGGCATATAGGCCTGTATGATGAGACTTTATCTAGAGGTTTTTTACCTTTCCTCAGGAGGACTAACCTCTGTCGCTTCCAGTCGCGGAAAAACTCTCCTCTCTCAAGGCAAAGATTGAAGCATCGAAGCAGAATCTGGGGTGAATTGTCGATTACCAACTTTAGGATCTCGTTACTTATCCCATCGATTCCAGGCGCCTTGCCTGTTTTCAATCTTTTGCCTGCTTTTTGCAGTTCACTAAGTGTGAAGAGTTCTTCCTCTTCGACTTTGCAAAAACTCCAGTCCCTTCTAAGGTATGGTTCCGCAGGAGGAAACAAAGAATTTATTATCTTTCTGACCCAATCGGAATTGTCCAGGCCGGGGGTCTTTTGCCTCGTCGCTAATTTCTTAGTAACGATTTTAAAAGCCAGACCCCATGGGTCGTTATCGACTTCCTCGATTAGGTCCTTCCAGTTACGGCGTCGCTACTTGCGGATCTCTTTCTTGAGGTTCTTTCTCGCCTCCATGAAAGCCTCTTTCAGCAAGGGATCTCCCTTAGATCTGGTATATGTCCTTCTTGCTTTGAGGCATTCCTTCCTCAAGGAGGCTAGCTCCTCTGACCACCAGTGCAAGGATTTTCTTACGGGAATGGCGCCTTTGCGTGGCATTGACGCATTGCAAGCGGTGACTATCATGTTTCTCACCGCTCGCACCTTCCCATCCAGACTGCTCGGCCTCTTCACCCAGCCCAAGTCCTCAATCAAAAGGGCTTCTCTTAAAGACCGGCCGAACTTTTCCTTGTCGAGTCTCTTCATATTCCACGAGGAGGTTTTGCGACTAGGAAAATCCTGTCTTTTTTCTCCTCGTGTGCCTCCCATCGAGACTGAGAACTCAATGTACTGGTGGTCACTTGCGGTATATTCCTCTGAGACCCGCCAGTCGCTTATGCGGCTAAATAGTTTAGACGATGCGATCGTTAGATCTATAATTGATCCGATCGCACCTCGTCTAAAAGTCCATGTATTGCCTCGGTTCACAGCTAATAAGTCGTTTCTGGAGATCATTTCTCTAATACGAATTCCTCTCTTGTCGAGTCTCGTCTCACCCCACTCTGGCGACTTTGCGTTAAAATCGCCAGTGATGATGACATCCAGCCTGGATTCTGTGAGGTTCGCTTCTAGGTCTTCGATATTGGCTTCGAAGTTTGTCAGTGGGTCGTTGGGTGAGAAGTAGCAGCTATACATACGTATATTAGCTACCTCTATCCACACGAACCCACTGCTCGTCTCCAGAAACTTGTCAACCCGCAATTCTGGGTTGCACACCTTTATGGCGGCTCTCTTCGCCTTATCCTGATACCAAGGGGCGAGGTCGCTTCCTTGATACTGCTCACTGCAGAACAGGATATCGACCTCATTTTCCCTTGCTGTTTGTATTAGGAGTAGCTGTGCATCCTTACTTGTATGCAGGTTGACCTGCAAAAATTTTAAGGATTTGCCCTTTTAATCCTTTGCAGTTCTTCCCTGTAAACCGGGCAGGCTCTTTTTCCGGACTCATGATCCGTTTCCGGCTTCCCCAGGTCCAAGCAAGTAAGGCACTTCGGCTTAACGTTACAGCTCTTCGCGAGGTGTCCCTCTCCGCCGCATCTCCGACAGTTTTTACTTCTGTCGGGGCCTTTGCAGGATAGTGTTCTGTGTCCGTAACCTAGGCACTTTTGGCACCTAGCTACATCAACATGCTCGCGAATTGGAGCATTTATCCAGCCGATTTTGATTCGGCCAAGTTTAAGCAGAATGTCACTTTCTGTTTCTGCTAAGCGGATTAGAGCAACCTTAGTTCCTCTGTAGCGCGGCAATAATTTGCACTCCATAATCAGGTCGGATTTTCCCAGCTTTTCCTTCAATGCTGAAGTCACCTCACTCTCTGTAGTGGCTTCGTCCAGGTCTTTGATTTCTAGAGACCTCTTATTTACTAAAGGTATGACCTCAGCCACGCCATGCAGGGCCGAGGACAGACTGTCCGCAAATTTTAAGGTTTCTCCACCCTTTTTCACTATCAGGAGAACCTCCTGTTTAAA